GTACATGTTTGTGTATTGAGAACAAACAGCTTGTTTAAAAAATTCCTTATTATAGCGCTTTTTAATCATTGTTAAAGACCTTGAAAACGAGTTTGGAAGTTTTTAAGAAGATCCTTTGGCTTAACCGAACTTTTTAATCATATCATGACACATAATATATCATAAGCATGGTATTCTTCATAACCAAATTTAATAATTCTGACTGTTCCTTCATGGCTTAGAGGATGCCATGAACATGGTGTTCTTCTTATACAAGTCTAATATTTCTGACTGTTCCTTAATGATGTACAGTATGGCATAAGCATGGTGTTTTTCTTAACACAGTTAAATATTTATGACTGTTCCTTAATGATGTACACTATGGCATAAGCATGGTGTTCTTAACACAGTTTAATGTTTCTGACTTTTTCTCTGCATTAACAGTCTTGACGCACTCATGTAAATAATGCTAAAATCCTAATACTAATAGATTATAAGATTACACTTTAGAGTTAAACAACATAACAGACTTCTCCTAAATAAGACAGAACATTAAAGAAAGTACAGCTTATAACGGTAGAAAATTATAATGCGTGTTAGTAAACGTCTTAGTTTCACATATTTGATAAATCAGTTTTTTTATCCTTAATGTGAATTATTTATGAGCATTTCCAACGATCTTCCCATGACAGATCTGGACTAGAGTGTTACACAGACTTACGCATAATGATGAATGTGGGATTTTGTTATCGCTATGTTGATACAACATCTTATTATAACCTCAATGATTACATTGAGGACAAGTACTTTCATAAAAAATATAGGACAATTTGACTTAATACATAATACCTTTTGCATTACAATTGTTACAGCCCTATCTGTATGTTATGAACAAGTCCTAATTTAACTCTATACGATTAAAACTTAGTTAGAACTTTATTTCTTAGACAGCTAGCTTAAACGTCCCACACACAAAAGAACTATTAAGAGTTATTAATTTGAAACAAAATATTAAAAATATCGCCTGGATGTTTTTACATATGTTGTTTAATATTGTTGTGATCCAGCTTTTATTGGATCTTTCATGTTTTTTCAATGAACAGGATTAAATGGACTCTCACTTGTCGAATATTTGAAATGAATTCGAAATCTGAAGCAGGTGTCAGTTTCAACATGCTAAAAAATGATCAGAAGGTTATCTACGTACACACTGGTCAGAATTTTAGGTAATATTAACAATAATATTTGAAAAACGAAAGTTTGATTAATCTAGTCTAATAATCACATAGATAAATGAATTCGAAATCTGAAGCAGGTGTCAGTTTCAACATGCTAAAAAATGATCAGAAGGTTATCCACGTACAGACTGGTCAGAATTTTAGGTAATATTAACAATAATATTTGAAAAAGGAGAGTTTGATTAATCTAGTCTAATAATCACATAGATAAATGTATACAGATAAAGAGAACTTCAGATCATTACAACTGCCAGACAAGTGAGTTGCATGGCGAACCAGTTATGTGAAAAAAATATCTGTATGTGTATATAGGTGAAAATTATAATAGGCTTAACAGAAGGTGTTGAATTTAGAAATAATTAGCCTTAAACACTTCAACGATCAACCCGAGCCACCGTGGTTATGGCAGAACGAAATAAACATTTATATCAAGTGACGTTTTCTCGTCAAACTTACAAGTATCCTACGGTATGTAAGAACTTACTTTATCCAATGTAAACCCTCAAAGGTAAGACGTCTAATGTTTCTCTGGCCACATGTATAAACTATATTCGTATAAAATGTTTATCAGGCAGGTGCAGATATATGTACAGAGATACTGAAGTATTCAAATAAAGCATTTAATGATTTTTGCATTTTTTGTTTGTTTGTTTGATTACAACACAAAGATTAACCTGTGATCTTTCGATAGAATATGCATGGTTCTGTTGATGGTTTCACAGCACGTGGTTACAAACGTGAAAGATTCTGTTTCCTAGGCAACCGTCCCGGTGTGCATTTTTAAAGCTGGTAAATACATAGCTAGATATAAAAGATGGCGTTAGCGACAAATAAACTGGATGCTTATGCAGCAAAGTAACTTGTCATATTTTTCAAGCTTTATCAGTTCACATTCTACAGCTTTAAAACTTCTTTGTACAACTTTTCGTTTGGTATGAAAACATAATTTTGCGTTTGTGATATCATTTACTTTAACATAGATAGTTAAACTCTGCAATGCGCATACGCTCGGATAGTTCGGATTTTTGAAAGTAGTGTTCACACTTCTACAGGATTGAATGAACAAATAAATACATAACAAGTGTATATGAAGGGTGTGAATGTATACCTTTTTGGGTGTATTTCCTGTATCATTATATTTCACGTTCTAAAAGGTGCCGTCATATTCTTCCTTAAACATGTAGTTCCACACTTTTTTTCGTTTTTATAATCTAGCAATAGATACAATCAGTTAAGCCTAAAAAAGAGCAAAAAAAAAAAAATCGAATCTGGTTTGTGTAAACACAATACCAGCGTTGCATATTTTTCTCGTATTAGGTGACTGATGTTTCGAATTAGTGACAAGTATTTTAATGAACTACTTACATGATTACTTGATAAATAACTGACTTCTGATCCTTTTAAAAAATATCCAATAAGAGTTAAACATAGTAACTCATTTTTCTCTGAATACGAATGAATTAGCTTATGAAAGTTAGTTTTAGACAAGTATTATATCAACAGATATTGATAGAGTATGAGATTGTTATTTAGAAAATAAAAATACAAATTAGAGAGTATATATTTGAGATGGGTTGTTTATAATTTCGAAAATAAAAAAAAATATATATAAAAGGAAGCAGTGAGCTTCAGGATCATAACGCTTAAAATTGGGGTTCGATATCCGCAGATAATAATCCATTATGTAACCTCAAGCGTAATTAAACTATCATGTTGCAAATATTTCGTTTTAACGATTTTAAACGTCCGCTATTTCATGTTGCCGTTGACATTAAAGGAATAAAACGTAGCTTTTTTTCTCTCTTAGGAATTATTGGGTAATTGTTGCATTTCTAAAATTGTAGAAAATGCATATATCGTCAGAAGATATTCGAAATAAGGAAACGAACTCATAACTCCAATTTTTTTTACGTAGATAAGACCAAACATGTATATATATAATATTATAAAAATGGATGGGGTTCTAGACTTACAAAGCTTTCTTTCATCTTTTTACTAAGGCTCGGCATGGGTCGCGGGTTCGAATCCTTGTCCCACCAAACATGCTCGCCCTTTAAGCCGACATGGCCAGATGGTTAGGACACTCGACTCGCAATCTGAGGGTCGCGGGTTCGAATCCTCGTCCCACCGAACATGCTCGCCCTTTAAGCCGGCATGGCCAGATGGTTAGGGCACTCGATTCGCAATCTGAGTGTCGCGGGTTCGAATCCCCGTCACACCAAACATGCTCGCCCTTTCAGCCCTGGGGGCGTTATAATGTGACGGTCAATCCCACTATTCGTTGGTAAAAGAGTAGCCCAAGAGT